GTTCTCCTGTCTCTACAGCTTCCCTGGGTGTATGAGTGCTAATACCTGGATTCCTGCCGAAGCCTGTCAGGTACCATTCCTTTCTGGTGTAGGGTGGGATGAGTCACATCCTGGGGAAGGAGGGAGGACTGGCTCCATACCTTCCTGTAACAAAGGCTGCACTTGGCCATGCTTTTGCTGTGAGTTATACTGGAAACCTCCACTTGGGTGGTTCTGAATTAGGCTTGACAATCCTTGTAAATGTGTAGTAGGAACACCCCTGCATTGGCCTCCAGTAAAGGACTGGATGGGATATGAGGGGTTTCTTTTTTTTTTTCCTCTGGGTTTGCTTATCTGGCAGATGAATGTTGGACAGTCTCTGTGGCCCTGCTGCAGGACAAAGCATAAGAGACAATGCCACACTCTCTTGCTTCTCTGGCAATTGCAGAGCTTGAAGGTCTGTCTGCTTTCTAAAAAACTGGATTTTTAAAAAAAAATTCTGCTTTTACCTTAATGTCCAGAGTATCAGGTCTTGTTTTTCTGGAGAATCCCTGGGGGCAGGGGCTCAGCTGTAGTCGAAGAGCTCTCTCACCACTTAATTAGAGGTGTGGGGAATCTTGTGCAAAGAGACCTTTTATTCCAAGTGATTGTGTTTCGGTATTAACAAAAAAAAATAATTTGAAATGGCCAGAAAAAGAGAATCCCTGCTTTCCACCAGTTAGACTCTCTGCTTCCCCAATGTTAGTGATGTCACAATCCTACTCTTTCACCAGGTGGCCCTCAGGTAAATGAGATCTAAATTATTTTGAAAATAAACACTTAAAGCCTCATCTTGCATCTTAAAAGCCATAGTCTCTCCTTTTCATCCTAGAATAGTAATAGAAATGTAGCTGTGTTAGTCTGGTGTAGCTGAAGCAAAATACAGGACTATGTAGCACTTTAAAGACTAACAAGATGGTTTATTAGATGATGAGCTTTCGTGGGATCAAATATTTTTTGATCTGAGGTAGTGGGTCTGGCCCATGAAAGCTCATCATCTAATAAACTATCTTGTTAGTCTTTAAAGTGCTACATAGTCCTGTATTTCTTTTCATCCTAGGCAGCTTAGTCTCCGCTAAGAATCAGTTATTTTTCCTCTCTCATTGGATGTTAGTGAGTTTCTGTTTCCTGAGGTGCACAGCTGAATTGACTTTCCTTTGCCCCATCCCCTAATCATCTTGTCCTGTGACTTGGTCACTAGGATCCATGGTCTCTCTTATACAAAAAAAATGTAGTCCCAGTCCCTCTCCCTCTGCTGCCTCCTCAAGAACCATTTCAGTATTTTCCTACCTTCATTGGCAATAATGCAACATGTATCATAACCCCTTCTATATGCTGGGTTCCAAAATATTGGGGCAGGCAGTAAAGGGGATAATTTACATAGGCATTTGTAAATAAGTTAATGATGACTGACCACTATCTCTCTCCCCTCCTTCCCCGCATGGTATGTCTCCCATCACCATAGCCTCTGAGCACTCAGGGGTCCCTGACCCATTGCCTGATCTAGTCCCACAGCATCCAAGTCTATGTCCTGAAAGTTCCGGGTGGCACAGAACTATTAGAGCCTATTAAGTGCGAGGAGGTGGTGGCTATATTACCACTATAATTGCACATTGGATTGATTTTAATCACCAATTTTGATTATTTACATTTACAAGAAGGAAATCTTGAGTTAATTCATCCGTTGTAACCTTATTTTGCATTTATACGTTTATCTTCCTAAAGAAATGTTGATTCTTATTAATTTGTGACTATTAAAACATGAACTAAACAGAGGCTTTATACTCTCTTTTTTTGCTAATGTATAAGCAATTATAGATGTTCTTATTAATTTGTAACTATTAAAACATGAACTAAACAGGCTTTACACTCTATTTTTTTGCTAATGTATAAGCAATTATATAACTTATCTTACATTTATCAGGCTTCTTAATTTTTGCATTTGTTTACTATGGTGTATGATGTATTTCTTATTTACGAGATTAGTATCTTGTCTTGTGACTCGTTTCACACTTAGATGAAAATTTGAATGAAATAAATGCACAAAGCTCTTAGTACTGTATTAAATTAATATTAATTTAAGTAAGCAAAACTACCTGGGGGTGTGTGTGCTGGATGTGTAAACATTTTTTCTAAGTGTATCATAAAATGTTTTATTGAAAAGTAAGGAAGCGTTATTTGTACAGGGTGCATTGAACGGTTTTAGTCAATGGGTACTTTGAGAATTTAAAATTGTTAGCGCTCATCCTCTCACACAAATATTGTATTATTAAATTGGAAGAGGAAAACAAGCCTTCCTGCTTTCCTGAGTGGGATCTCCACTTGGAACTGACTGGTTGTTGAACTAAACTAGTTGAATAAACTCAAAATAAGAAAGTATTCTTTCTCCACCTGTAGAAGAGGCTTCTGCTGTCAAAAACTAGCTTAGCACGTCAACAAACTCTGGTGGTAGGTGCTTAGCCAGTGTCTTCTGTCAATTCAATGGTTTAACTTTCCTTGAAACTTTGGTAGCAAACATGTACTGCTCACCAGTTAAACTGAATTTTATATCCCTAATGGGGGTACTGTGTCCAGCTCTAGTGTCTACAACTCAGATGATTATAATGATGATAAATCAGTGCTCAAAAAAGAGCAGTGAGATGGATTAAAGGACTGAAAGAAATGCCTCAATAGTAGATTGAAAGAGCTAATTCTTTGTAGCTTAACAAAGCAAAACTAAAGGGATGATTTGATCAGTTTAGAAGTAGTTTCATGAACAAAAAATTGATAATGGGCTCTTCAGTCTAGCATACAAAGGTCTAATAAGGTCCAGTAGTTGGAAGTAAAAGCCAGGCAAACTCAGGCTGGAAATATGATGCAAAATTGTATGTGAGGTTAATTAAGCATTAGAACAACTTAACTATAGTTGTAATGGATTTCTCTGTCACTGGTAATGTTAAAATCAAGATTGGGTGCTTTTTCTGAAAGCTGTGCTCTAATTCAAACACAAATTCAGGGAAGTCCTATGACGTGTTTTGTGCAGGAGGTCAGACTAGTCACTAGATAGTCACAACAACAAGGAGTCCAATGGCACTTTAAAGACTAACACATGTATTGTAATATTTGAGGAAGTAACCTGTAGCTCACAGATACCGAGGGGGAAAAGAAAGACCCTCCTGGCCTTAGAATCTCTGGATGTCATCTATCCGCTCTGACTAGGTGCTTTCTAGTTCAGTGGCTACTCTGCTTTCAAATGTCCAAGCAACGGGTTTCCCATCTCCGTCTTCTTAGGAACTCGTACACAGGCGGACATACCTCAGGGTCAGGAAAGACGTAAGCACACCTTCCAGCTTTCCCATTTTGGATGCTAAGGGGATGTCTGTACTGCAGTTACACACCTACAGGTGACCTATACCAGCCGACTCCGAATTGGGCTAAGGAGCTGTTTAATTGTGGCTTAGATGTTTGGGTTCGGGTTGGAGCCTGGGCTCTAGGAGGCTCCCCCTTGCAGACTACAGCAAACTCTTCCATGAACTATGGACCAGCACAAACCTCACCACTTTCTGCTCCAGGTACAAGGCACCTTTCTTTGACCTGTCTAATATAAACACTCACATAAACCTATCTGTGGCCAGCAGTCTCCTTCCCCAGTACCTAAACAAAACACTGCACTGCACATGCTTCTCCCTCTGGGGAAAGGATGAGAGAACAAACAGCACGTGACCTGTGTAGTTGATGAGATGGTGATGAGTTTAGTTTGGGGAGAAGAGACAATGGGGTGGATTAGTGATTCTCTAGCTCCTGACGGAGAAACCCAGAGCATATGATGGACGGCATACTGAGAAAGTGTCCTTTGCGCTTTGCCCTTTCCAGCTAGGGGTGTCCGCTCCAAGCTCAGCGGCAGTGTGTTTGCTCCACCTCCCATTGGAAAGCTGTCAAGTCCGAAGCGCAGTCTCTTGCTACTGGATAAGGCAAAAATTTTCTTATCAGGTCTTCCCTCTTCTGTCCTCTCAGACTTTTGGCTTCTCAATCTATGTCTACGCTGCCACTTTCAGCACTAAAAGTTCAGTCGTTCAGGGGTGTGCAAAATCAGTAATGGTTTTAGTGCTGAAAAGTGCCAGTTCCGCTCGTTCGGGATGGCATTTTTTAAACACTGAGGCTATGTCTACACTCGTGGCTTCTTGTGTGACAAATATGCAAATGAGGCTAAGCGTGGAATATCGCTGAGCTTCATTTGCATACCTAATGAGCCGCCATTTTTGCAGAAGAGGCTCTTGTGCAATGCTGCTACGCTGATTATTTTTCAGGAATAACAGCATTGCGCAAGAAGGTTTTTCTTGTGCAAGAAGGGTCAGTGTAGACAGCTCCTTCTGGTGCAAGAGCCTCTTTTGCTAAAATAGCAGCTCATTAGGTATGCAAATGAGGCTCGGCAATATTCCACACTTAGCCTCATTTGCAGGGCTCGACAAATAATACAATCTACTCACCTGTGGCGAGTAGTTTGTAACCTGGAAGAGCCTGAGAGAGCTCTTCCTGGCACTAAGGAGTGACTGCACTACCCACATTACAGTGCTGCCACTGCTGTGATGTGGGCAGTGTAGACATGCCCTCAGTGTGTAATGTAACTAATGGGGTTGGAGAGAGGGATTCCTACAGGCCATCCACCGCCTGACTCCCTTCTGGTGAAGCGATGGCTGCTCTTATTGTGGTGAGGAGAGTGGTATATTCTAGAGGGGAGGAGAGTGGTATATTCTAGAGCCGTGGTCACCAACCAGTAGATCGCGATTTACCGGTAGATCTCAGGGACTCCACGAGTCACTCTTGAGCCCTCTCTGAACTGCACACCTGCGCAGTGCATTTACATTAGATTTCCTCATGTAATGTAGGCGGGGCTTCAAGGAAGGGGCGGGGCAGTAGATCTTCGCCTGTTCTGAGACTTAAAAAGTGATCTTGGGTATAAAAAGGTTGGAGACCACTGTTCTAGAGGGGATCCTCTCGCTTTCAGGTCTGCCTGACCCTGAGGGATGCCCTGCCTGAAGGACTTGAACACTTCTCCTCTCTACCGTCACCTCAGGAAGCCCCTAGATGCCACAGCCCAGCTTATCTTGTGAGTGCTGCCAAGAGTAGTTTCTAGAAGGCTATTGGAGGCCCTGGTCTTCCTGCCAGTCTCAGTTCAGCTGCCAGGCAGCTTGCTCTTCTTGAGGAGTGGGAATCCATCTGCCCCACCCCTCTGGGGATGAGCTATGGTAGCAGATTTCCACAGACTCCTTAGTGGGAAAGCCTCCACTAAAGCACCCACTGCCCTGTCCCCAGGAAGCAGGTCTCTTGGGCCTTTGTCTCTTGCTGGGAGAGAAGCCTAGTCCGTCAGCCTGCTCAGCACATTCTGCAAACACTGCTTTGTCTGCACGAGGCTTCCTGGCCAGCAAGTATTAGCTAAATTCTAGCGGAGGCAAGCCAAGGGTTGCTCAGGCATCTCCTGTTCTCTGTCCCTCCCTCTGCCATTGAAGTGGGGTGCCCCAGGTCCAAAGCTGCTCAGCTGGGGCTGCCTCATCGTGAAGGGTGAGCTCAGGTGTCTTCTGCTCTCTTCTTAGAAGCTGCTTTGCCCTTCCAAAGAACCTTGGAAAAGCTTTGCCTTCCCAGACACAGAGCACACAATGCCCTTATCAATGGTGGGGGCCAGAGAGGGTTTTCTCTTGAGCTTGCATACAGTAGCGGGTCCCAGCCAGCTTGAAATTCGCACCCGTTGCCATAGCGCTCCCTTGCTGTCTGGAGGGCAGTGTGCCAATGTGGACCTGCCAGCACTGCCAAAGCTGTAAGTGGGGCTTTCCTGGAACTCCAGGCAAATCCATGGAGGTTGTAAATTTCAAGGGCAATAAACAATTGTCTGTGTTTGGCGCTTCCTGTGAGACTGGTCTGGGCCCATGAGAGGGCGCTCCTTGACTGTGATGACCTTACATTTCTTGCCCTGCCTCTCCCCAGTACTTAACAAAATTGGACTCTGAATGGGGAATAAGAGGAGGCAGCCAGAATGCTGCTCTCAGTCCTTGAGACCATGATTCAGGCTGGAGGATTCCCTTTCTTCCTCCCCACTTGAATAGACAAATGGGGGTTTGGAATCCTCCTCTTAAGCAAAAGCTGTCATCCTATTGGACACAGCTAGGTCGGACATAGGTCTTTGGCTAGGCTTTGCCCCCAGGGCTCCACTGTAGAGTAGCTAAGGGTGGTGCTGCTGAGAACTCTTATTCCTCCCCCCACCCTCCAGCTGAGCCCTAGCCCCAGCATGCCACAGGTGTTCCCTTTGTATGTGCAAGTGTCAGATGTGGGTATTGATAGACACTTGTAAATGCATAAACAGTACAGCACTGGAGCGGAGTGCATCGAGTGGAATAGCAGCAGGGGCTGCTGTGAAGCTCAGGTGAGGAATGGCAGGCGTTCTTGCAAGCGAGGCACAAGGTGCATATTCAGAGTTCTGGGGCTCAGGCCTGCAACAGCTTGACATGCTGCAGAGCTCTGTGTGGTCAGGGCTGGAAAGCCAGGAGGTTGCTCTGGGGCAGGATTCCTTGGCTCTATTCTCTGTTGTGCTTGTGAGACACTTGCCTTGTCCAAGTCTCTCCCCCTCCACGTCTTGTTTTCCCTCTCTAAAATGGGGTCTGAAATGCATTAAGATCCTGTGATGAGAAGGCGGTAGAAGGGAGAAGTGATGTTTACGGAGAGGTTGGTGGGTTTTTTCCTCTGTGGATTTGGAAATCACCAAATTTGTTTTACCTAGCAGCTAGGCCTGGAAATTGACCATTCCATTCAAGGGCTGAGATGGAGCAGTGGAAAAATCTTGTCCATTTGAACAAGAGGCTGAAAACTTTAGGCTGCTCTGAGTTGCGAAAGTCTTGTGATGTTTTTTGCCCACACCTTGGGAAAAGGAGGTGACGCAGCCCTGTGGCATGTATTTCTGGCCTCCCCTTGATCTTGTGATGTTTTTTGTCCACACTTTGGGAAAAGGAGGTGACGAAGCCCTGTGGCATGTATTTCTGGCCTCCCCTTGCTGTCAGAGCACAGGAAACCAAGTAGTAGACTAACACTAGAAATAGAGGAAAGTTTGATTTTTGCTGTTTAAAACTTCGGGGAGGTAGCATGTTGCTAGCCATCCTGGCAGAGCTCCCACTCCTCATTGTAGTCCATAGAGTTCTAGTTTTAGCATTTGATTTATTCAGCAGTAATACCAGCAAGCTGCAGGCCTGTCTCCTGTAAGACCTTGGCTTCAGCAGTTAGCAGGAGGCTTGAGGGCTCTGGTCTTTGCACAGATAAATGGCTTACGCTCACCACTAAGTTTTGGGGAATAGAGTGTTTAAGGGGAAAGTTTGTCCATAGTGATGCTAGCCAACCGCAGGAACATGAGCTAACGCCAGCTTTTCGCTATTTTAGGCTGGGAACATTTGCAGATGTCTGACCACGAGAGTGCCATGGCAACAAATAGATGTAAATGCTAAGTTGAGATCATTAATCTACTAACCTATAGCAGACGGGCACCCCAACATTAGTAGGATGGTGACCTGCAAATAAGGGAGAGGGGAGAAATCCTAACTGAATATGCATTAGACATAATGGCATCAGCATCTCATACAAATTGTAGCCCAGCCTGTGAGCAGGTGTGAGAGATGTAGCCTTTAGGACAGGGATGGGCAATAATTTTTGAAAGGGGGCCACTTTATAAATTTCTGAATTGGCCCTGGGATGCTCCATAAGGGGTGGGGCCAGGGGACTTGTGATGGGGTACGGTCACAGACAATCCCTTGGGGGTGCCTCCTGGGGTGCTGACATGGCCACTGCCACTCGCCTTCCTGCTCTCTGGAGCTCCTCACCGCCTGGTCCTGCTGGGCCAGGTCCTGCTGGACCAGCTCTGCTGGTCTCCCCAGCCAAGGCCCTGGGCTGAGGTCCCTGCCCCCACCGAGAAACAGTACAGACAATGAACCACTTCAGGTCCTAGGAGAGTGCAGTTTAGGGCCAGCCTCCTGAGAGAGCACTCCCCAGATGGGATCAACCCCCCCAAAATTAGGTAAGCCCCCTTTAGCAATGAAAGGGGGAATGTGCACACTGGCTGCCCCTCCCCCCCGGTAACAATCACTTACACTGGGTTTGATAGAAAATAAAAATGGTTTTATTAAATTGAAGCAGTAGGATTTAAGTAGTAATAAGAGAAAACAGGCAGAGCCAAGTAGGTTACAAATCAAAAGAAACAAAGCTGCTTGGCTAATTCTCCACTGAAACCTCAGTGCAAACTTAAACTCACCCTAAACCCTCTTTTCCAGCTGCCACTCTAAACGAGGGCTGTCTTCCCCACCCTGGGGTCTCAGGCTCCTTCCTTCAGGTGCAGCCCAGCCGAAGACCAAGGCCTCTTCTCTCCTATTCTTTTTGTTAAAGAATTGAGGCCCCTCCCTACCAACCACAAAACCGATAGTTTAACAGTTGAGGGTAACACCTTCCATGTCTCTCATTCACATGTTTGAAAGCCACAATGTATTCCCCACTCCACGTGTCTAATTTTCCACACACAAATGGTACATACAACAGAGTAAGATGATAAACACAACCAGCAGATCATGACATGAAGATCGATGGGTTACATGAAATAATTCGTTCAAACCACCTTTGAGTTATGTATATTCATGTCCATGAGTCCATTTCATAAAGCATGGGGGGGGGGTCCGTCACAGGACTTATCGTGCTTCCCCTCCCCCCAGACCCTGATTGGCCTGGGGGTGTGGGAGCATGGAGTGCATGAAGTTCCCCTGCCCCTGGAGAGAATTGCTAGCTGTTTTAAAACTGCTGTCAGTTCCTTCTAGATGCAGCAGCAAGAAGAGATCTTGCATGCTCCCCCCACCTCTAGTCCAAGGAGGGCCTGGGAGGGGAGCATGCAAAGTCTCTTGCCCCCTGCCCTTGCCTTGCCAGGGTCGTGCAGCAGCTATAGAGAATAGGGATGTTAAGTATTGATTAATTTCCATCACCTACTCAACTAGTTGATGAGGAAGAGGGCTTAACTCGCTCACTTCTGGCTCAGGGCACAGCTCCCTGCTGCTGCTCTGCACTCTTAAAGGGACAGAGAGGAGCCGGAGTGCAAAGCCTGCTATGTCCCTTTAAAAATGCAGAGTGGGAGCTGAGGGTTGGCTGACTCCTCTCTGTCCCTTTAATAGGGGGCAGGCGGAGTGATCGAGTAGTCCACGGTGTTACCCAATAAGCTTCTGCTTATTGGGTAGTCGACTACTCAACTACTCCTTCACATCCCTAATAGAGAATCGCTGGCTGTTTTAAAACCGCTTGTGTTTCTCTCCTGCCGCCATGTGCTCTTGGCAAGGGAGAGAAGATTTCGTACACTACCCTGTCCTCAGGTCTCGATTGGTTTGGGGGCGGGGGAATGGCAGGGTGGCCATGGGCCAGATCCACCAGTTTGGCATACCAAATCTGGCCGGCGGAGGTCCCTTTGCCCACCCCTGCCTTAGGAGGTATCAGGATGATAACTGGCGATGAGGAGGAGGGTGGTGGCGATGAGGAAGATAATGGTTAAGATTTCAGAACATTTTGTGTCCTCGGGCAGCTGTGAGTGTATGCATAGTCAGATGTATATTCTGCATTATCTTGATCTACCTTGCTGAGTTAGTGTTTTTGTGACTTTTACTAAATGTACTAATAAACCATTACAAATACAGAAGGGTTCCTCAAGTATGAATAGTGATAGAAATGTAGCCGTGTTAGTCTGGGGTAGCTGAAGCAAAATGCAGGACAATGTAGCACTTTAAAGACTAACAAGATGGTTTATTAGATGATGAGCTTTCGTGGGCCAGACCCACTTCCTCAGATCAAATAGTGGAAGAAAATAGTCACAACCATATATACCAAAGGATACAATTAAAAAAAAGAACAAATATGAAAAGGACAAATCACATTGCAGAACAGGAGGGGGATGCACTTATACCTCCAGATCAGCGGCACAGCCATGGGTACACGCATGGCCCCACAGTATGCTAACATCTTTATGGCTGACCTAGAACAACGTTTCCTCAACTCCCGTCCCCTTTCACCCCTCCTCTACCTACGGTACATCGATGACATCTTTAT